TCTGACTTCCCCCAGAACAAGTCCGGCACGCACGTCCTGAAGGGGCACCCTTGACTGCACTCTCCACCTATAAGGGTTCGGACGCTCTCCACTTTCAAATTTGTCCTTTTCACCCTCTCTGCCCACCTCCCCCCCCCCCCCCCCCCCCCCCAGCTCTAAGACTGGAAAAGGGCACCAGTTCCGAGGGCAGACATGCTTCTCCCTGCTCCTCGGGCAGCAGGGACGGGATGGTGGTACTGGCAAACTTCTCCCTGAGGATGTGGCATCACGACAAGGTGAGTGACCCCAGTCAGGCGTGAGTCCCAGCCTGGAAGGTCCCTAACAGCCACTGTGTCCAGTGATTCCCCAACTCTGCAAGCCGCAGGAGCCTTGTAACAAACTAAATCCCACTTGGAAGTCGGATGGGAAGGTGGCAGTGCACCCCCAGGGTGTGCATGCCCCCTGATTACTGAGGAAAATAAAGCTACAAATCAAGTTTAAACTGCTGAGAAAGCAGTTTCGACTTCGAAGCCACAAGTGGTAATATGTTAAATGTTTGGTAAGTTTGAACACACAACATTTACTTACCATAAAGGTGCCTTGATGATGACCCCAAGGTGATTCTCATGAATGCAAAACACAAAAAAGAAAAGTTGTAGTCTTTTATTTTACTGTTTTGTTTTCATTTTTTTAGTGTTTATGTGGGGGAGGGGGGGGGAGAGAGAGGGGGACACAGAGTCTGAAGCAGGCTCCAGGCTCCAAGCTGTCAGCACAGAGCCCGATGCTGGGCTCGAACTCGTGAATCATGAGATCATGACCTGAGCTGAAGTCGGAGACCCGACCGACTGAGCCACTCAGGCGCCCCAAAGTTGTAATCTTTTAAGTCTCAGCACTAAATTTACCTCTATGGTTGTTTTTATACGTTTGTTTTCTTTGTTTCTGCTCAGGCTTGAGAAAAATTTAGATTTGCATAGATAAGTGATTTGAGGAGCTCACCTGGAAATCTCAGGGTACTCTAGAATCAAACAATTTGGTTTATTATTTCATTCATCCAACAAGTATCTATTGAGGACCTGTGTGCCAGGCAGTCTCCTGCTGCTGCTGGAACAAGTAGGAAGAAATATTTATTTCAATCTAAATCACTAATATAACAATTATTGGCATTTCTCATTGTGGGTACATAAGGCAAATGAAAAGACTCGAGCTTATAGTTAATGCCAAATTGATAGTACACCATTCAGATATTGCAGCAGGCCATGTGTAATTAATTGTTCAACAGACAGGTCTGAGTCTTGCCTGGGAAGAGCAAGTGCCACCCAGCATGTATGTTCGATTGTGTACATGACTGTCTAGCTCAGAAGAAACATAACCATCATCATTAATGACCTATTTCAAGAAATTCAAATATATGCCTAGAGATTCAAAGGGCATGAGGCCACCTATTCATTCATTCCACGTTTATCAATTTCCTACTATGTGACAGCCACTGTGATGATTTCTGGAGATGCCACGGTGAACAAAACGTTTTTGCCTTCCTGGGGCTAAGTCCATCAGTGGGCGAATTAATCAGATAATTAAAGAGTGGCTGTGCTCAGAAGGAAATGAGCAGAGTGATGGGACCCCGCTCCTTAGAGAAGATGGACGGAGACGTTCGCAGGAAGCAACGTTTAAGCGGAGACCTGACATAGGAATCCTGATCCTGGGAGGAGCCTGGGAGAGTGCTATATGCAGCAAGTTCAAGGCTCTGAGGCCAGACTGAGCCCTCAGCGTTGAAAGACAGGAAAGGAGCTCAGACTAGAAGGGAGTGATCAAAAGGGATGGTGGCTCCAGATGAAATCGGAGAGATGGGCTGAGGCCAACTCGTGTAGGGCCTTCCAGGCTAGTGTAAGAAGATGAAATTTTATTCTAAATGCAACCAAGAAGCTCTTAGGGAGTTTAAAGTGGGAAAGGGATATCATCTCATTTACATGTTTAAAGGATTACTCAGCTGCTGTGTAGTGGTCAGATTATGCTGGGACAAGAGGGGAAGTAAGGAGAGAAGTCAGGAGGCGATGGTGGCCATCCATGCCAGCAGAGTGGCAGCTCAGTCCAGGATGGTGGCACTGGGGACAGGGACACTCTCATATCTCAGTGGGCAGGTCTTCCCCCTGCTGAGACTTCCCCTCTGGAACCCCAGCTTCCTAAAGCCCCTGCCTACCTGATCTCTCCACCTGGATGTTGAATACCCATCTCAAATTTTGCCCCAGCTTGGACTCTTGATCTGCCAACCTGCGAACCTGCTGTTCCACAACTCCATTCTTCCTGGGGTCATCCTCCACTCCTCTCTTGTCTCCCTGCCTACATTCAGTCATGAATACATCTTGCTGGCTCCGTCTTCAAAGCGTGTTGGGAACTGAACCACTTTTCAGCATCTCCACAGCTAGTACCCAGATCTAAACCGCCATCGTTATCACTTGGGTCATTACAATAGCCTCCTGATGGTCTCCCTGCTTCTGCCTTTACTCTCCATAACCAGTATGCTCCTGTGAAAATGAAAATCAGATGTTAACCTTCTTCTTTTCTGCTCAATCCTCAGTGGCTTTCCATCTCAGAATTCGACTACTTTGTCCCTCTCTGACTGCATCTCCTACTACACTCCCACTTGCTAATTCTGCCCCAGACATAACAGACTCCTTGCTATACTTATTAAATATTACCAACACAGTCCTGCCACAGGACCTTTGCACATGCTCTTCCTTCTATCTGGCTCCACATACCTGCTTCTGGCTTCCCTTCATTCTAGTCTCTGTTCAAACATAATCAGCCCAGAGAGGCCTTCCCTGACCACTCCATATAATAACAATCTTCATCACTTTTCCTCCTTGCTTTGCTTCATCTTTTTTCATAGAACTTAAAACTTCCTGACATCTCATATTTCTCACTTATTTGTTTATTAACTGTCTCCCTGCCCTACAATGTAACCCCCATGAGAACAGTCTTGGTTTTAGACTTTGCTGTATCCCCCAATACCTAGACCAATAGTTGGCACATATGGATGCCCCATAATAGGTGTTGAATGAACACATGAAGGTGGTGTTATGGAGTGAAGGGAGGTGAGCACTTCAGGAAGGGCACCTTGAACACTACTACAAGTGGCAGAGAAGCGAAGAAAGAAGGACACCAGCTTAACGATAACCCACAACCCTCGGACCAACTAAGAAAGCAGGACTCCAAAAGAGCCTAGGAAGGAAGGGCTTCCAGGGTTCAGGGAGCCAGTTAAGACAGCTCCCTGAAATTAGTGGGAGAGGCACAAAGATTCCTCTAGCTTACATCTGTAGGCTCTGGGAGAGGAGACCGCTGTAGGGGTATCTGGTCCAAGGAAACCTCTAGCCAGAGTGCTGATAGGAAGATGTGGACAAGATATTTAAGAAGAGGCTAAGAGGCACCCTGGGGGCTGGGGGTACCCCAGAGCTTGTGAAGGAGCCAGACATCCCATGAGGTGGTTGACTCCTCCTTCTATGCCCAGTCTCTCCAGTGGGCCTGCTGGGAAGAAATGCAGCTAAGACCTCCGTGGAAGTTGAGCTGTGGCACCGGGCTCAGTGCCCCAGCCAACAGCTGGGGAGCCCGCAGGGAGCACACAGTCCAGCCAGTGCCAGGGACAGAAGCAAGCCCTCTCGCTAATACAGCCTTGCACCTTTGCAAGGGCCTCCACATGTTTGGTCCTTTTAGGTTCTCACCACGACCACAAACACTGGAAGAAATCGCTATCATTACCCCCAATTTAGGAAGTGGGGAAACTGAGGCTTGGAAGGCCTTGGGACTTCTGCAAAATCATAAAGGAAGCTGTGGGATCTGGACTGGAACTTAGGTCACTGGTCTGCAAACTCTACTCTCAAAAGATTCCACTCTAAAGTGGGGTTCTCAGGCGGAGTCTGGGCGTTGGAGGCCTTTGTGCAATGAACTTCACTGGTGCAGCGCTGCGCCCGAGGAAGCAAAACCGGAGCAGTTTTCTTCCCAGCTGAAGACACGTCTTGACCTGGACCCTCACTGGACACTCCGGCTGTGGAAACACGGAGGTCGAATTAGGCAGGAGTTCACTTCCCTCCCTCCAGGCTGCGGCAGAACCTGTGCTTGAATAGATTGGCGAGAAGCTTTAGCAGCGATCCTCGTCTTCTGCATAGACGAGGCTCGAGAGGAGCGTGCGGGGAAGGGGGCCTTGGCCCACGGCCGTCTGAGCGACCCCCGGTGTAGGAACCAGCCGAGCGAACCGGCCGCCACGTCCAGTTTCGCCCATTTAGACTCTTAATTCTCGTTTCAGGTTGCTCTGCCTCTCCAGCTTTCTGCTATCTCTGGGTTGTATCTCTCATTGTCTTACTATCTCCCCTCTGAGTGTGTCTCTGAGACGTTGCCACGCGTCTCCCCAAATCTCTCCGATCTGTTTTCTACTCCTACTCTGCACCTAGGTCCCCACAAAGAAAGGACAGAGGGAGGCCCCAAATCATCTTGGATTTGAGCGCGCGCGGCCGGCATTTCCCGAGGACACAGGAGTACAGTGCTGGAGAGGTTTGGAGCCAGTGTGTCCCGGAGCCAAGTGCAGCCGCGTTGGGCAACCAGCCTCTGCCTCCCTACTTGCTTAGGGAGGGGCCGGAGCGCGCGCGCGAGCGAGCGTCTAGGGGTAGGGGGCTGGCCAGTCTCTTGCCCCAGCGGCTACCCCGAGGATCCCAAGCTCCTCCCCCACCTTGTTTCTATTGGCCTCGGGCGCCCCCGCCCCCAGCCACCCGCTCCCGCTCCCGGGCCCTTAAGCTACTACTGGATAAATAGCCCCCGGCGCCCGGCGTGAAGATAGGGGTGGGGAAGCCCCGGGGCGCTGCAGCCGCTCTCCTCACCGCCCACCAGGCCGGATAGGACTAGGTAGAGGGGGGAAGTCGCGTGTACATTCAGATCCCTAACCCTTTACCACCTTACGGCCAGGACTGCAGAGAGGCAGAAAGTTTCGGGCAACCCCTACCGAAGCCAAGGACTGCGCCACCCGCTGCCGGGATATGGAGCTGCTGTCGCCGCCGCTCCGCGACGTAGATTTGACTGGCCCCGACGGCTCCCTCTGCAACTTTGCCTCCGCGGATGATTTCTATGATGACCCGTGTTTTGACTCTCCCGACCTGCGCTTCTTCGAGGACCTGGACCCGCGCCTCGTGCACGTGGGCGCGCTCCTGAAGCCCGAGGAACATTCGCACTTCCCGGCGGCAGTGCACCCCACCCCCGGCGCGCGCGAGGACGAGCATGTGCGCGCGCCCAGCGGGCACCACCAGGCTGGCCGCTGTCTGTTGTGGGCCTGCAAAGCGTGCAAGCGCAAGACCACTAACGCCGACCGCCGCAAGGCCGCCACCATGCGCGAGCGGCGCCGCCTGAGCAAAGTCAACGAGGCTTTCGAGACGCTCAAGCGCTGCACGTCCAGCAATCCAAACCAGCGGCTGCCCAAGGTGGAGATCCTGCGCAACGCGATTCGCTACATCGAAGGACTGCAGGCGCTGCTGCGCGACCAGGACGCCGCGCCCCCTGGCGCCGCCGCGGCCTTCTACGCGCCCGGCCCACTGCCCCCAGGCCGTGGTGGCGAACACTACAGCGGCGACTCAGACGCGTCCAGCCCGCGCTCCAACTGCTCCGACGGCATGGTAAGTCCGCGACCCCGGATCGAGAAGTGAGGGCAGCTCTTTGTATATCTGGGAAGTATTTCCGAAGGCGGGGAGCTGGCCCTCTAGAGGGAGGGTTGGGCCGGGAACCTTGCTGGGAACGGACCCCGGTGGCCTGAGCAGCTGTCACTGGAGTGGCCTGGTGCCTTGGGGGCGCACGGGACAAATGCGATCCACCCGACTAGGGGCGTTGTTAGAACTCTGCTGCAGCAACATGAAGATGTGCTTTTCTCCACCTGTCCCTATTTACAAAATGCAGATTTGTGCTCCTAGGTGACTGTCCATCCTTTGGTTGGCCGGGCAGGCTGCAGACAGATCCTGTCTACCCCTACCCCCCATCCCACCCCCCCAAGTCAGGGCCCAGAACTCGTGGCTGAGACTTAGGGAGTTGGGGCGGGTGGCTACAGGGAGTGATGCTCTGCCCCCATGCGGTCCCGAGGCTGACTCCGTCGCCCCTGCCCTTTGCAGATGGACTACAGCGGCCCCCCAAGCGGTGCCCGGAGGCGGAACTGCTACGACAGCACCTACTACAGCGAGGCGCCCAGCGGTGTGTATTCGCGCCTCCTTCCACGTCACCCTCTTTGGGCTGCCCTGGCTTCCCTCTACCTAGGACCCCCCCCAACCCCCAATCCTGGGAGACTGTACAGGGAATGAAATAACTAATGCGCAGCTCCCTTTTCGCTCCGCACTCTCGCTGGGTCCTTGCGGACTACGCTGGGTCCTCAGTTTCCTGTCTGCCCCAAAGCACTGAGCCGACAGGTGGAGACTTGTCCGCGGCTCAGCCGCTTACTAACCTCCCTCTCCTCGCGCAGAACCCAGGCCCGGGAAGAGTGCTGCGGTGTCGAGCCTCGACTGCCTGTCAAGCATCGTGGAGCGCATCTCCACCGAGAGCCCCACAGCGCCCGCTCTTCTGCTGGCGGACGCGCCGCCGGAGTCGTCTCCCGATCCACAAGACGCGGTGGCGCAGAGTGAGGTCGAGCGCGGCGCCCCCACCCCTTCCCCGGACGCCGCCCCGCAGTGCCCAGGGGGCGCAAACCCCAACCCCATCTACCAGGTGCTCTGAGGAGGTGTGCGGTCGCATGAGAGGGCTCCGCTGCCCACGCGCCGGAGGGAGAGTGCCCCCCCCCCCAGGATCCCTCATGCCCGAACGATTGAGCTTAAATGCCAACCCCCACTCTCAAACTCGCTTTAAAAGCGACCCCTCCCGAATTAGGAGAGGCGGGAGAACTGATGTGTGTTTCCGCCTCCGGCACTCCAGAGTAAGGACACAGTCCTTTTTTTCCACGCAACACCCTTCCCTGAGACCCGCTACAATGGCCTTTCCGAATTCCCCCTGGGGCCAGAGCAGATCCTTCAGGGGCCAGACCCTTCCTCTTCCTTTTGCCCTTCCCTAGAGGGGTGGAACCCGCGCAGATCTAAGCCCCGCCTCCGGACTCTCCGGTTGCTTCAGGGGGCGTGGCCTCTCCTTGCAGGGGCGCGAGCATCTTCGGGTTCCCCTGCGCCCTCGGGGTGCGCTCGCGTTCCTCGTCTAACAAGTGTTAACAGTAGCCACTCCACCCTCTCCCCCAGTTCAGGACCACTTTTTGTAACACTTTTGTAATCTATTCCTGTAAATAAGAGTTGCTTTGCCAGAGCAGGAGCCCCTAGGGCTGTATTTATCTCTGAAGCATGGTGTGCGGTGCTACAGGGACTTTGTACGTTTATACGGCAAGTGGGCGAGCCGCGGGCGCGCGCTCAGGTGTTCGAAATAAAGATGCTAATTTATACCGCGGTGGCTCCGGCTCTCCCTGGGGGTGGGGTCAAGATTTTTTTGATGCGGAGAAAAACCTGCAAGCTTGGGTCAGCTGTACCGCAGCGACCCCTGTAGGCGGAAGAGCGATTGCAAGAAAGGAGCCTGGGGCGGGGCTAGGAAGGGAGGAGTGAGTTTGGCTCCTATACCTGGGGGGGTGGTTCCTCGGATCAATCAGCTCACGCAGGTTAGTGGTTCTGCGGTCAGGATGCATTTTAGGCTGATTTGAGTAGTGGGAAAAAAAGATCCATGTTGGGCCCCACTCTCCAGAGATTCCGATTTAACATATCTGCCCCTGATACCCAGGTATTAGTATTTTTCTTTTTTTTTCTTTAACTATTTTTTTATTTATTTCTAGGAGAGAGAGAGAGAGACAGCGTGAGCAGGGGAGGGTCAGAGAGAGAGGGAGATACAGAATCTGAAGCAGGCTCCAGGCTCCGAGCTAGCTGTCAGCACAGAACCCGACGCGGGGCTCGAACCCACGAACCGCGAGATCATGACCTAAGCGAAAGTCGGACGCTTAACCGACTAAGCCACCCAGGCGCCCCTGTATTAGTATTTTTCAAAAGCTCCCTCAAGTGATTCTAAACTGCATGCAAGGTTGAGAATCACGCGTTTCTATACACAGAGTGAACCCAGGTGTGGTGTCCAGAAGGATCACTGGAAATCCGTAGCTGTAGGTTCCACTCGGAAGCCTCATGGGTACAGAGAATGTGATGAGGTGTTTACAGCGTTCTGAGGAGAAACTAGGTAAGTGTGAAGGGACGATGTAAGCTGTATGGCACTTACAGGCTCTTAGTGATAGGAGTAATCTTAAGGGGGCCTTAAGTAATCTTAAGACACAGACGTCTCTACCCAGCCAGTAACCCAGCACTTAGAGCATCCTGGGCCTGTCAGATTTCTTAAGAAGCCTGAGGAGACAGGGGCAATGCAAATCTGCATCGTCTCAGGTGGCTACAAACACTCTGAAAGCAGAGGAGGGGCCATTGATTTAGCTGAGGTGGAAGGAGGGCTTCCTGGAGGAGGTGCCATTTGAACTGTGTCTTGAGAAACAGGAAAAGACAACAACACACAATGCCCATTGACCCATGCGCAGGCACACGTGCAGTTAGTTGGAAGGACACCCCTGGAAGGATGGTTGGGCAAAAGTTCCTCCCCATTTGCATACCACCCCAAACCCATACATTTGTCATTAGGATCTCCATGTCTCCCACATCTCACCCTTAGAGAGGATTTTTTCCTATAAGCCTTATAAGCCCACTTTCTGCTCGCCAGGTGGGGTGACCTTGAGGATTGCAGGCAAGATGTGTTGCCAGGAAGAAGGACTTCTGCTCTCTACTCTGAGGAGAGCCTGTGATGTCCGCAACACAGGGTCCCTGAAGAGCTGCCTAGAGCTGCTCTGTTACTAATGATCCTCAGCTTTCTTCTGGCTGCTTTTCCAGATGTGTTTTGGAGTTCTTTACAGTCCTCTGAGAGACCCTTCCGGGCTCATTTATGAATTCACTCATTCAACAGTTACCAGGGCGTGTGCTGGGTGAGAACAGAGACCAGTGACAGTCCCTGATCTTGGGAAGCACCCAGACAGTTGGGAAGATTGAATCTCTTAGCAGCTGGTTACATTACAATGAATTAAGTGCTATCATGGGGGTGTATGTGATAGGACACAGTAGGAAGAGAAGATATAGACAAGCAGGTAACCTCCGGCAAGAATCCTACTGGTCAGGAAAGAGGAGTCAAAGAAGGGTACTCCAAGCTGAGGAAGCAGCAAGGACAAAGATCCTGTGGTGACAGAAAGTAATCCATGCTTTCATGGAACCAAAAATGTTCATAGGAGAGCCCAGAGGTGAGACGGGGGAAAAGCAGGGGCAGGGCCCAATGGACCGCATTTGAACTTTATCCTGAGGGCAATAGGGAGCTCTAGAGGACTCTAACCACTGGAAAGGTACAAATAAATCTGTATTTAGAAAGGCCAGTCTGGGCTGGCAGAATGGATAAGAAGGAATAAGACTTGAGGCAGAAAGATTTATCAGGAGGCCATGAGGGTTGCTCAGAGGAGACATGACATGACCTGAGCTGGGGCTATGGCTAGGGTGTGAAAAAAAGCACGGGAGTGGAGACAGTTGTGCCAGATAAACAGTGAAGAACATTGAGGGCACAGTCCTTACCCTCACACAGCTTAAAATTGACTGGGGGGATGGCCATGAGACAAAGAACCGAGTGAATAAATGGTGAGAGATACTATAAGGAAAAGTAAAGGGTACAATGAGAGATGATAATGGGGTATAAGAAAGTGCAGAAAGGAGGATGTAGACTTTCTGAACTGAGGGAACTAACTGCATGTAGGAAAAAGGCCCAAGAGCTAGTGTATGATTGGAAAAAGGTATCCCTTCTTTCCTGAGGACACTGCTCTGCACCAGGGTTCATGGCTAGGCAAGCAAAAAGCAGACTGGACTTCAGCCCCCACTGACCTTCTTAGCCAGGTGCACTTCTTCAGTACACATCGTGCATAACCACTCACAGAGCCCTGTGTATGGAGGCCCCAAGGATGTGAGGGAAAGGGGGGAGCCAAGGCTAACTTGGGCTCTGGTTTGGTTCAGAGTGGACAATGTGCCATTACAAAGATGGAGACATCAGAAGAAGAAGCAGGTCTGGGGACAGATTTAGTCCAGGACAGTTCAGGTTACAAGTGACAGAAACCCAATTCAAACTAGCTTAGCCCTCAGAGGAGTGTGTTGGAAGGAAAGGGGACAGTTCACATATGGAAGCAGCACTACAGCCACCATAAGCTTTGACAGCTAGGACTGGAGCCCCTCTTAGGCTTCCACCATTCCCCTGCTTGCCTTTACTTGGTTCACTCTCTCCAAGTCCCATATTAGTTTTCTCCAGCAACTCACGGATTACCTTGAACCTCACCATTGAATTCCAGTTGGAAAATTCCTGGAGAAGAAAGCTCATTGGACGAGCTTAGGTCATGAATCAGGATTTGAACCCGGCAGAGAGGCTCCAGAGACTGTATTCTTTGCTGCCTTGCCTTGGACCTCTGCACAGAAAGGAAGGCGAGAGGAAGGAGAGAAAGTCAGGAGGGAGGGAAGCAGCTGGAGATTGGGTATCTCCACTGATGATGGGATTTGAGGTCCCCTCCTGGCCCACGGCCACCGCAGTCCTCTGGATTGCTGGCGGTGGGGGTGGGGGGGTGCCAACTAGCTAAGGCCAACTCCATTTGCAGTGCAGATGAAATGACCCTTGTTCTTGGGGCCATTTTCACCTGGGCTGGACCTAAGGAAACTGGGTCCATGTCTTCACATGTGTGCTCATACAACAGCACACATGTACCCAGAGCTTACCACCGGGGGCCGATGCACCTTGAAACCAATGAAGTTTAAGCTTAGGTCCCTTCTAAGGCGCTGGTCCAGCCTCTTTCCTAATTTGCCAAGGCCAATTAGTTATTGCCATTGTCCCTTTCTACCCTGACTTCTCCCTTCTGGTGTGTGGCATTTAGGAGCATGTTGGGGTCCAATCTAAAAGTATACATTTGGTTGGGTTTCATGGAATAATAATGAATAATCAAATAAATTAAAATGATCTATATTGGGAAGACAATTGGACCCAAAATATATATTTAGATCATACCAAAAAGCAGTGTATTAAAAGAAAGAGATAACTTTCTAATGGAATTATTGAAGACTATTGCATTGTTTGATAATCCAATCAATGAAGAGTGAATTATATGAACACATTGGAAAATGATTTTAAATGTTTTGATGGTCTAATGCAAAGTACTGACATCAACAAAAACAGAGTAATATGCCACTCTCAAAATACTTCAACATCAACAAACTTTTTAGTGAACACTGTTAATTTTTTAAAATTTAAAAATATTCACCACACAAGAAAACTCAAAATACTTTGAACTTTTTTTTTTTTTTAATTTGAGAGAGAGAGAGCGAGCAAGAAAGCACACACAGAGAGGGGGAGAGGAGTAGAGGGAGAGAGAGAAAGAATCCCAAGCAGGCTCCATCCTCAGTGTGCAGCCTGACATGGGGCTCAATCCCACAATCCTGGGATCATGATCCTGAGCCGAAATCAAGAGTTGGACGCTCAAGTAACTGAGCCACCCAGGCACCTCACAAAATACCTTGAACTCTTAACAGTCTACAGATGAGAGAAACTTGATAGAGTTTTCCCCAATTTGACACCAATCCTAAAATTATGCATGACGTTTCCTATGTGGTGGTTAGCCTGAAAAAGGCTTCCCTGAATTATCAACGACATAC